GGTAAGTGATAAAAGGTGCATTGCAGATTTTAGCAAACATGTTCTCCTCTGCTAAATAATTTTGATTTAAATGTTTGCAGGGAAGAGGTAGGTCCAGATGCGGCACGGAAGTTCTTGGGTCATACACAGTGGTTGGTCAACTACTGGCTTCTGCAAAATGGTTTCAGTATTGGGATTGGGGATACAATTGCAGACGCCGATACTATGGAAAAAATTAATGAGACAATCGCAAACGCCAAGATTGAAGTGAATGGGCTTATTAAGCAAGCGCAAGAGAAGGAACTGGAACCTGAGCCAGGACGCACGATGATGGAATCATTTGAAAATAGAGTGAATCAGGTACAATAGCCGAATGTCCTTGTTTGGTTCTTTCATCTGGGGAAATAGGAGTTTGCGATGAATAACTTTCTTGATATGCTTGTTTTTGACATATCTGTTTCTCGTGCCAGGTTCTTAACAAGGCTCGTGATGAATCTGGCAGTAGTGCCCAGAAGAGTTTGTCCGAGAGCAACAATTTGAAAGCTATGGTCACTGCAGGCTCAAAAGGCAGTTTCATTAATATTTCACAAATGACTGCTTGTGTCGGACAGCAGAACGTTGAGGGCAAGCGGATTCCATTTGGTTTTGTTGACCGTACATTGCCCCACTTCACGAAAGATGACTACGGCCCCGAAAGCCGTGGATTTGTGGAGAACTCTTATCTTCGAGGCCTGACACCACAGGAATTTTTCTTCCATGCTATGGGTGGTAGAGAAGGTTTGATTGATACTGCTGTGAAAACTTCTGAGACGGGATATATCCAGCGGAGGCTCGTGAAGGCTATGGAGGACATCATGGTGAAATATGATGGTACCGTGCGAAACTCCCTGGGCGATGTCATTCAATTCTTGTACGGAGAAGACGGCATGGATGCGGTTTGGATTGAATCCCAGAAACTGGACTCCCTGAAGATGAAAAAGGATGAGTTTGATAATGTATTTCGTTATGAACTGAATGATATGAACTGGAAGCCTAATTACATGCTGCCTGACCATGTTGAGGATTTGAAGACCATTCGTGAATTCAGAAATGTGTTTGAGGCAGAGCTTCAGAAATTGGAAGCTGACAGATTACAGCTTGGGCAAGAAATTACCACAACCGGCGAGGGTACATGGCCTATGCCTGTCAATCTCAAGCGGCTTATCTGGAATGCTCAGAAGACTTTCAAGATTGATTTAAGAAAACCTTCTGACATGCACCCAATGGAAATCGTGGAAGCGATCGATAAGCTGCAAGAAAGACTCAAGGTTGTCCCCGGCGACGACGCCATGAGCATTGAGGCCCAGAAGAACGCTACTCTGCTCTTCAATATTCTGCTTCGCAGCACATTTGCTAGCAAGAGGGTCTTGAAAGAATACAGGCTTACGAAGGAATCTTTCGAATGGGTCATCGGTGAGATTGAATCGAGATTCCTCCAGTCTTTGGTGGCTCCTGGTGAAATGATTGGATGCGTGGCTGCACAGTCCATTGGAGAACCGGCGACTCAGATGACGCTCAATACTTTCCATTATGCTGGTGTTAGTGCTAAGAATGTTACCCTTGGCGTTCCCAGGTTGAGAGAGATCATCAACGTCGCCAAGAAGATAAAGACCCCATCGCTGTCCGTCTTCCTAAAGCCTGGGGTGAACAGCAGGAAAGAATCAGCCAAGAATGTCCAGTGTGCCCTGGAGTACACCACGCTACGTAGCGTGACCCATGCCACTGAGATATGGTATGATCCTGATCCTCTAGGAACCCTCATTCCCGAGGATGTGGACTTTGTCAGGTCATACTATGAGATGCCCGATGAGGATGTCGACCCGGATAAGATGTCTCCTTGGCTGCTGCGTATTGAACTGAACCGCGAGATGATGGTCGATAAGAAGTTGAGCATGGCTGATATTGCAGAGAAGATCAATCATGAGTTTGATGACGACTTGTCATGCATATTCAACGATGACAACGCGGATAAGCTCATCCTTCGTGTCCGCATCGCAAACGACGAGGCTCCTCCAAAAGGAGGAGAGGCACAGGGCGAATCTGCCGAGGACGACGTCTTCCTCAAGAAGATTGAGGGGAACATGCTGACTGAAATGGCCCTTCGAGGCATTCCAGATATCAACAAGGTCTTCATCAAAAAGGGGAAGGTGAATAAATTTGATGAAAAGGAAGGTTTCAAAGGAGAAGAGGAGTGGATGCTTGATACAGAAGGTGTAAACCTCTTGGCCGTCATGTGCCATGAGGACGTTGATCCTTCAAGGACAACAAGTAACCATTTGATTGAAGTGATTGAGGTTCTTGGGATCGAGGCTGTCCGCAGGTCCCTCTTGGATGAGCTGAGGGTGGTGATATCTTTTGATGGGTCTTATGTGAACTACCGGCATCTGGCCATTCTCTGCGATACGATGACGTACAGAGGTCACCTGATGGCGATTACCAGGCACGGCATCAATCGTAACGACACAGGGCCTCTCATGAGATGTTCTTTTGAAGAGACGGTGGACATCCTGCTTGATGCTGCTGTATATGCGGAATCCGATTACCTGAGAGGTGTCACAGAGAACATTATGCTTGGCCAGCTTGCTCCTATTGGTACAGGAGGGTGTGGATTGTATCTGAATGACCAGATGCTGAAGCAGGCCATTGAGCTCCAACTCCCCAGCTATATTGACACTCTGGACTATGGTGTCACACCGGCGCGTTCACCCGTCTCCGGGACACCGTACCATGATGGAATGATGTCGCCATTGCTGAGCCCGAATTTCCGAGCTTCCCCCCTCTCTGATGCTCAGTTCTCGCCGTTTGTTGGCGGCATGGCGTTCTCGCCCATGCCGTCGAACTACAGCCCGTCCTCTGGGGGTTACAGTCCATCTTCTCCGGTGTTCAGCCCAGGGCCAGGACACAGCTACAGCCCCACTTCTCCGTCATACAGCCCCGCGTCGCCCAGCTACAGCCCTGCATCACCATCATATACTCCTGGTTCTCCTTCCTACAGTCCGAGCAGTCCATCATACTCTCCGACCAGCCCGTCATACTCTCCGACATCTCCGAGCTACAGCCCAACATCTCCTAGCTACAGTCCGACATCTCCGAGCTACAGCCCCACCTCGCCAAGCTACAGCCCAACCTCTCCGGCATACTGCCCGACATCTCCTGCATACAGCCCAACTTCTCCAGCATACTGCCCAACATCTCCTGCATACAGCCCATCGTCGCCATCTTATAACCCAACGTCGCCATCTTATAGTCCGACATCTCCTTCATACAGCCCAACTTCACCATCTTATAGCCCGACGTCGCCATCATACAGCCCCACATCTCCCTCATACAGCCCTTCATCGCCAACTTATAGCCCGACGTCGCCCTCATACAGACCGACATCGCCCTCGTACAGCCCGACATCACCTGCATACAGTCCGACATCGCCTGGTTACTGCCCGACGTCACCGAGCTACAGCCCTACTTCACCGAGCTACAGCCCTTCTTCGGCCAAGTACAGTCCTTCACATATCTATTCTCCAAGCAGCCCAAGGATGATGAGCCCATACAGTCAGACTTCTCCAAACTACAGGTAATTCTGTAACTTCTGTTCATAGACTTTCTGGTGGTATTCTATTCATACATTTTCAGAATTTCTTTTCCAAAAAGTGTAAAGCCTTGGCCTCATCGTCGGTTGATACACACATCAGAATATTTATGCTTATTTATGCTCACATATCTGTTTCTCCAGCCCGACCTCACCGTCCTACTCACCCACCTCACCGTCGTATGCACAACCAAGCCCGTCATACAGCCCGACAAGGTGAGCCGAATTTCAGTTGATCATCCTCCTTGTTTCAACTTAAAGAACACCTGTTGCTGTGACAAATACAATGTGTTTCCTAACTCACTGCCTGCATGCTGCAGCCCGATCACCACCTCTGGAGGACCTAGCCCAGATTACACCCCAACTTCTCCAAACTACAGGTAATTAAATTAAATGCATCATCATGTTTATCTCGTCGATCTGCCCGTGATGGAAGTACGTACACAGTTGGTGAGCTCTTCTGACGATATCACTTTTTGGGCGTGCAGCCCCACCGCAAGCTACTCCCCCACCGCAAGCTACTCCCCCACCGCACCGGGCTACTCGCCGACATCCACCGAGCCGCAAACTAGTGACAAGGACAAGGGGACCGCTCCTTGAAGCAAGGCACCGACATAGAGAAAACTGCTGCTGGCCGAGGCAGAAGCACACCGCACCAGCTGCTGTTCTGTTTCCTTCCGCGCATGTTGCACCCGAACAGGCCTTGGGTTTTTCTGCGCTTGCCGATAATTTGCTGCTGAACTTAAGTTGTTATGTATGATAGATGTTGCGAGTGACTCTCCGTAACTGTGTTGTTGAGAATCTGCAATTGTACTTAATAATGTGTTGTCGGTCGGATTGTTATGTTAATGATGTTGTTGATTGAATTGTTATGTTAATGATGTTGTTGGAACTTCTTATTTGCAGTCCTGCAGATTTCCTCCTAATGCTGCTATGGCGTTTCGTAGGCCTTAACTGTGCTCTAATGTTTTTGATCTGAACCATGTCTTCGATTTCTTCTAAAGGCTGCCTCTTGTGCTAATTTCTATCAAACTAAACACCTGAGTAAGGATTAAGGGTTACAACTTGTACTGTTACTGCTGTCAGGTACAAGTTTTTTTTTTTCTCTAATTTTCATATTACTGCTGCAGGTAATTGTTTCCCAGTACTTTGTTCTGATCTAATCAGCACAATTTTTATGTTTACTTGTGAGCAGATAACCTACTTGGTATAGTTATTCATACATGGGAAGACATGTTTTCAGTAAAGGACCTCTGTGATCGTGTGGAGCGATGCTCACACACAACAACGGCAAGTTTATTTACTCATAGAGTACTGCTCGAGATTATTTATCAGTAATCACATGCACACAGGCATGCATCGAGGACTCCCGCTAGATTTAGATCGTAGTATGTTGTTACTCGGTTACTTGCTGGATCAAAAGCCCCTCGACGAAGGGCCTCTGGTTGTAGCAGTCGAGGTTGCTCCCGTAGCCGACGCCAAGGATGTTGCAGTAGCGCTGGTAGAACCCGATCCGGTCGGCAACACGGCTGTCCGGCCCCCTGCCGCACTCGAGCCCGCCGTTGATGATGTTGGTGATGACGCCGTACCCGGGCACCCTTCCCGCCGCGTTGTCTGCGGCCGTCGGCGTCCACTGGCCGGTGATCACGGCATGGGAGGACGGCTTGTTTGCCTGCGGCGTCATCCAGAACCATAGCGCCGTTTCGAACGACACCGTGGCATCCGTGGCCACAAGGTCCGGGTTGTTGAGCAGGTCCCGAGGAAGTTGAAGCTCGGATGGTCGAGCTATGTTGTCGGGAAGAGATCATGTGGCGTCAAAGGGCCCGTATACAATGGCTCGCTAAAGGGGACAGCAATACTTAATTTTTTCACAAAAAAGCTAGTGCAAGGAAAGCCAAGAATCACATTTTGGAGCTCCAGAGAGCCGATGGCTCTATGACGTCCGATCAGGAGGAGATGGCAGCGATGGCAACTAGCTTCTACGAGAACTTATATGCTTCGGAAAATACCATTGGAATGGAAGAAGTTCTCTCTCACATACCGGTTAAAGTGAATGGGCAAATGAATAGTATGTTGAACACCCCTTATACCAAGGAAGAGGTGAAGTCTGCACTCTTCCAAATGTTCCCGACAAAGGCCCCGGGGCCCGATGGCTTTCCCGCTCACTTTTTTCAATGTCACTGGGAATTATGTGGTGATGAGGTAACCGATATGGTGCTGCGTGTTCTGAGTGGAGATGATTCACCAGAGGAGATAAACAAAACTTTCATCGTTCTCATTCCCAAGATTGCTAGTCCAAAAAAATTAGCACAGTTCCGACCGATAAGCCTATGCAATGTGATCTTCAAGATTGCTTCAAAGGTATTGGCTAACCGGCTCAAACTCATTCTCCCCGAAATCATTTCAGAGGAACAATCTGCATTTGTACCTGGTCGTCTAATCACAGACAATTTCATCTCTGCTTATGAGTGCCTACACTATATGAAAACAAGGAAGTTGAAGGGAAACAGATTCTGTGCTCTAAAACTCGATATGATGAAGGCCTATGACAGACTCGAGTGGCCATATTTGAAGGTAGTAATGTTGAAACTAGGTTTCAGTCCTCGGTTCACCGAAACTATCATGAGGTGTGTTACTTATGTTTCTTTTTCAGTCATGTTTAATGGAGGCAAGTCAGAGGAATTCAAGCCAACCCGAGGCTTACGACAGGGTGACCCCATTTCGCCCTATCTTTTTCTGTTGGCGGCAGAAGGCCTCTCATCTTTGTTGAAATCTTCGGTCCCAGGGGAGAGTATCCATGGCATTCAGGTAGCTCCAGATGCTCCAATTGTTAATCACCTCCTCTTTGCTGATGACAGCTTGCTCTTTTTTGACGCTACACCCGAGATGGCAACATGGGTCAATGTTTTGCTTCAGAGATATTGTGATGCGTCGGGACAACATATTAACAAAGATAAGTCATCAATATTCTTCAGCAAGGGGTGTTCTGAGGACTTGAGGAAAGAAGTTATGCGAGTCTTGGATGTTAATAATGAACAATTATCAGAGAAGTACTTAGGGCTCCCTTCGGATGTCGGAAGAGCAAAAGAGGGATCCTTTAAGTACCTAAAGGACAGGATTTGGAAGCATGTCCAAGGGTGGATGGAAAAGGCCCTTTCGGTGGGTGGCAAAGAAGTTCTTATAAAATCTGTGGCGCAAGCGATACACACATATTCAATGGCGTGTTTTAAACTACCGAGGGGCCTATGCATTCATATTAACGGCTTGCTTTGGAAGTTTTGGTGGGGATCTAAGAAGGGTGAAAGGAAAACTGCATGGGTCTTGTGGGAAGTCATGACGCAACCGAAGTTTATGGGAGGCATGGGCTTTCGAGACATCGAGCTTTTGAACTTAGCTTTGCTTGCCCGTCAAGCCTGGCGCCTACTGCAGGAGCCTGATTCGTTAAGTGCACACATATTAAAGGCTGTTTATTACCCTCATTGCACCGTTCTGGAAGCTGTGCTGGGGAGCAATCCGTCTCAAGTGTGACGCTCCATACATGAGGGGTGTGACACCCTGCAATTGGGAATCATCAAAAGGATTGGCACGGGAAGTGAGGGGAGCATTTGGCATGACAATTGGATACCGCGAGATCATAAGCTACGGCCGGTGTTCCCAAAGACCCCAAACCCGCCGCAACTTGTGTCAGAGTTGCTTGACCACACTACTGCGGGCTGGAATATTGATGTTCTCGATGAGCACTTTTATGCAATGGACAAGGAAGCGATACTGAATATCCCTTTGAGTACACGAGTACAATATGACTTTTGGGCCTAGCACTATGACAGAAGAGGCACCTTTTCAGTACGGTCTGCATACCGTTTACTAGCGACTACAAAGCAACAGAGAACGGCATGGTTGGAGCATGTTTCGGGGCATTTAGATTCGGATGCAGATAAGAAGTCTTGGGGCAAACTCTGGAATTTGAGCATCCCACCCAAAATCAAAATTTTTGCTTGGCGGTTAGCCAAGACATCGATCCCCACCGGCGAGGTGAGGCAGCAAAGGAAGATGACAGATTCGCCGGCTAGCCCGCTCTGCCAAGCGGCAGTGGATACGTGGAGACATTCTCTGTTTGATTGCCATATGTCACAGTGTGTCTGGGCTTTGGCTGACGAGGAACTGACAGAAGTAATGATCTCAAACCGAACAGAGGATTCTCGTTTGTGGATGTTCTGGCTACTGGATACTCTAAAGGAGCAGGAAGTTGTTCATATTTTGATCACAATGTGGGCCATATGGTGGGCGTGACGCCGTGCTATCCATGATGAGAAGTACCAAAGCCCCCCGAGCACTTCGGTTTTCATCAAGAAATTTCTGTCCGATCTTGATTGCATGGCTGTGCACAAGTCACGCCTGAGGGACTTGCATGCAAAGCCAAAGGACCTGCATGTAACAGCAGGAAACTCGAGGACCAGAGCGACATCACCTGGTTGGCTTCCTCCAACCGATGAAGTAGCGAAGCTAAACGTTGATGGAGGCGTGTCCAGATCTGGTAGAAGGGGTGCAACAGCTGTGGTCTGCCGTGACAGAGCGGGAGCTTTTCTTGGGGCCTCAGTCAGAGTTTTTGAGGGTCTCACGGATCCGTCCTCGTTGGAAGCACAATCATGCAATGAAGCCCTTGCCTTGGCGATGGATCTCAATCTCAACTCTATATGCGTGGCTTCGGACTGTGCTGCTGTTATTTCCATAATAGGCTCAGATGTTCCCTGCCAGTTTGCCTCGGTTTTGAGTGAGATAAACCATAGGGCTAGATTTTTTCCTAATATTCGTTTTATTCATGAGAATAGGAAGCATAATTTCGAAGCGCATGCTCTAGCAAAAGCTGCGGTTTCTTTGTCTCCCGGGCGCCACCTGTGGCTTCTAAATACGCCCGACATCATCTGTATCCCTATGAACATCCAGATTTAATAAAGGTTACAGATGCTCAAAAAAACCCACGATCCAACTCCTACGCTCAAAGTAGTCATGCGCACGGTCTACCAAGCAAAAGAGGTGCAGCGGCAGCGCTGTTTTGCTGAAAAAAGGAGACGGCAGCGCGTGCAGCCAGGACGGGCGGCACGATCGATCTCCATACTCGCGCTGCCGTCCCCCGTGGCTTTGCCTCCAGCCCCGGCGCCCCCCTGCTCCGGGTATCCAGGCCGCCGCCTCCTGTCCTGTGCGTCGTTCGTTGGCATGTCGCACCATCCCCTGCTGGCTGCTTCACGGCGGGCTGCTGCACCTTGTATTTTCTTTGATGCTTTCTCTGTTTCCCCATTGATGCTTTTCACAATTCCACTTATTACATGTTTTACTTGTATGATGTATCAGTGTGTAAACTGCTTCGAACTGAAATTTAATTGAAGTAATATGTGTGTATGCACTATGCAGTCATATATCTAGGGTATTTTGATGTAATTGTCAATTTTATCTCATGTTGTAGAAAAAGAAGATGAAAAGATTTAGCGAGATAATTTGCAAGTATTGATGATAATGATATTGTCGCTTTCAATCATATAGGTCCCACAAAGGGCTTTTAACTCGTCGAAGTGGTAACTTTTTAGATTTGTATCAATGATAATTGTTTCACATGATGTTTATGCATTCTCTTATGAAATATTGCTTTTGATGTCTTGAAGGTGTTGGTTCTCCTTTCACCGTTGATGAGATTATGCAACGCACTGATGAAGCAAACCATTGATTTGGTACTCTTTTATATCACATACTGTTCTTTATAGTTTTTTCATGTTTTTTATTTATTTTTATCGTTAAGCATTGGTTTAAATTCTAAATATTTCACGCAATTAAGCTATATTTTGTTTGGGTTATTTTTTGACGTAGCTAAAAGCCTTATGGATATTAAGTTTCCTTGAGGTAAAAAGTTTTGGGGCCCGGGGCTTGCTTCAATGCTGGCTCCGCCACTGAGTCCAAGTGTGTATAATCTAACTGTAAACTACAACCTAACTTTTGTGTGTACGATAGGTTTTAGTTAATAGTTGTGACGAGTATTAGACTCCTTCCCTAAAGGGTCCTAGATGCATTTAAGTTCAAGCTACGTTTTGAATTCAGTTTAGGATAGAGTTGCATATGGTATGTAAGCCGAACGGAGTTCCATGTATCGATTCCAGCTAGTATCGCGTGGGGGCATGTTGAGTGATGTAAATACTAATACCACCATCAGATGCAATTAATCTTCCATGTGTCGAGAGATGATTTATCTCCAACTATTATTTGAAAATTTAGTATAACACGGATGTCTACATGCAATTTCTATACAATATTGGTGCAAATCGTATAAATGCTTGGGACTTGGCTTGCTAAGTATGATAGAGACGACAGTGCTGTTAATTTGTCATCTTGCAAGATAGATAAAATACAAAAATTCGTCGGATTGGACTTAGCTAGCGATCTAGGAATACGAGGGCACACAGCAATGACACGGCGTCTCTCTTGCCCATTTTAGTTATATGTTGTTATCTTGTTATCTCATCCCATCAGTATTAATGTAGGGTAAGCAAGTTGTTAAGTGAAAGGAAGTGGTTTAGATTGCAGCAAAGGGTTCTGATTACCGTCCCTACACGGAATATGAGTACACCAGATGTTAGCGTGATTCAGCGATCCAAATCGAACTAAGACCGCATGCTAGCTAAGTCTAGGCCATACCAG